GAGTACGCAGTTATTTGAAAAAAATAAAATAGGCATTTGGACTTAGAAGAAGGAAAGAGTCTGGTTGTCTTCTGGCAAGTTTTTTTTGGTTCTGGTTATCTGCAAAGTATACACCTCTTGTCAGTATAAATAGGGAGTGCCTGTATAAACATTCTTGTTTCGCCTGTTCCACATAATAGTTTCTTGTATCATATTTCTTTTGACCTCGCTATCTGAAACCAATTACAGGAGATCCATTTGGGCTGCATCTATTTTCATAAGAAGCCCAGGCAGCAGTGTTTTTCTCAGAGATGAATATCAACATCAAATATGCTTCTGAGTGCTTTGTTATTTATGTTTCAGAGAGATTTTGTAGCCTTCAGCTCTCAAGAATGTGTCACGCTGTGCTGTTTATACATTGACGATATTAATGGGCGTAGATGTCATTTTTCATTTTAACGTCTCAAATGCAACAGGCTGATAGGTTAAACATTCCTGTTTTTAAAGAAAAGATATGAGTGACATCTTTTTCCTAAAAATATGCATAGATTTACTTTTTAAAAAACAAAGTAATAAGTTTACCGTCTTTTAGTGGCAGCTTTCACTTTATTAAACTGATAAGACTTTAAAAATTATTTTAAGGCATGTTTAAATTAGATACCAGGGTATGGGATACAAAAGAAAAGCAAGTTGTGTCTCATCATATTATCGCCAACAAATTGCAAAATCTTCACAATTTATCAACTTTAATAGGGTGAGTTATATGCAATTAATTTCATTTTTGTTCTGCTTACGTTTTAGCTATGCCAAAGCTGCACAGTAAATATTAAGAAGTAGTGTTCCCAATAAATATTTTACTAGAAGACACAGTGAGTTCTGGAAACCATATGCCCAGATATCCTGCTTATACAGCCATTACTTAAAGCATTATAATGATTTTCATTTGCATTATTAAAATAATTTCTAATCCTCAGTTCTTTTTATTGCTTTTGTCTGCATTGACTTTTTTGTGTAGTTTTACTAATTTAGATAACTTAATTAAGGAAAAGTGCCTACTAAATTTGAAACAAATGTTATTGGAAACTGAATACAATTTTGACTGCCTTACAATCCATTCTTGCTGCTCTTAACTTGAGGTAGGACTCAACATAATTTTGATCTGCCAGATTTATAAATGTCTGTTAGTTTGTCTTCGTCGAACTGTTTTTAGGCCACAAGTTATTATCAAATTAGTTCACAGAAATTTACAAATGATAGGTGGGATGGGTGTTTAGTGTACATGTTAAACTATGAATATTGAAAGACGCTTTCAAGTTCTCAATTTGTTTTGCAAATATTTAATACCAGCAAATGAATTGGTCGAACTGAATGTTTTATAGTCTCATAATCTTCACTTAAGAATAATGTCAGTAATAATTCTTTGGAATTAACAGTGTATTTCTGGGAGGTTGTTTACTGAGTGGCAAAATCTGAAGTTAAGCAGCACACTGGGAGGAAAAAGTACCATATGACAACAGCTAGAAGAACAAAGGCTGACAGTGATTTCTCCTTATGAGTTTTAAATCATCTCTGATCTCTTGAAATTGTTTTCTGTTCTTCTTCTATCTCCTGTGTTTACAATAATCTAAACTGCCACAATAAGATCACTGAAGTATTCAGGTAGTCATCACTTATAAGACATTCTGTATTAAAAGATGAGCCTTTACTCCTTTAAAGATATCCCAGCCAGCACATATGAATCAAAATAGTTTAAGTAGTAGAGCCTTTTATGCAAACATATCCTGTTGTGCTGCCTTGCTTTTTCATAAAGTGTGACTCTTTTTGTAGTTAGCGGTAGGAAGTCGTGCTTTCTTAGGCTGATTCCACAGGGGTATGCTAGCCGCAATTTGAAATTATACTGTCTAGCTTAAATCTAAGCTGCAGCATACTGTAATTCTTGAAATTTAAAGTACTGTAAATGTACAGCTTTACCAGATGCTTGCTTGTTTTATTGTATTGATGAGAGATGACTTTACTGCTAAGGAAGATCAGGACAGTGAAACAACTTGCCGAGCGTTCCAGTTATTTGCGAGTATACGGCAGCGTTACATCCTTACAACTTCTTTTCCAGATAAAGGCCAGGTAATGAATTGTCTGCGACCGCCACAAAGAAAAATAATTATCTTTATGGTTTTTCCCATTTTCCGTAATTCCAGATCTCTTCTCTGGTTCTTGTAGCAGTATCACCCTGAGCAGTGAGGTTGGTTTTCCTGTCCAGTCTCCCATGAATTCAGGAGAGCAATAGTTCTCTCGCTTCCATTCACGTTTCCCTTTCGGAGAGCTCTAAAGCTTGGGAAGGATTATAAATTTGCCATAGGTCTTCTGTTCATGCATTTAATCCATGTTTTGTGCTTAAACCACTGCAAGATGTTGGGACCAAATCCTGGTGCCCCTGAAACCACAGATATATTTATCTCTGGTCTCAGACAGAGCAGGATTGTCCGTTAGGATCTGCTCAAGAACTGTGAGTGCAGAAGAGATTATGCTATTCACATAGGAACCAGGGCATCCAGTGGTTCCTTGGTAACAAAATATTTCAAGTGCACTTTGAAATATGTTAACTTTTATTTGTTTTTGGCAGAGAGAAGCTAGTTCTGCGTGTCTCGTTGCTTAGGTTCAGAGGAATGTATAGTCTTTGTAAAGCTGACCTGTAATTACTTGAGAATTTGATGAAACAATATGGGGATTGTTGTGGGAATGTCTCCAAATGTTAAAAGTCTGCTCTGCAAACTTTGTACCAGAGCCTTCTATGGGGAGACGAATCAATGTTGTTAGGAGATGGTGCTAGTGCATTCAGTTTGTTTACTTTGGTTTTCTGTGTCTGCCTGCCTTCTCAGAAAACTTGCTTGGAGCCAGACTGTAGCAGCCCTCTCTCTGTCTTTTCATAATTGATCAGGGGATGACTGCCTTCCCTGAGGGTTAAGACGTGGCAACTTTTTCTGTTTGCTCAGCATCTCAATGCAGTAGTTCAAACATTGTTCACACCAGCTGGCAGTGTAATGCCATATGCACATCTTGTCAAAGCAACTGTTGTCATGGATACTAGAAACTATCTTAAAAACCAGCTCATTTGAGTCTAATCAAAATTGTACCTTTCTTTATCAGTTGAGAATCTTTATTATTTCAGGGAACATATATCAAATGGCATTTATTGCGGTATATTCCATCTACAGTATGTGTTAATAACGTCGATAATAGTGGGGTGTATTTTAAAGCTGCAACTGCTATTTACTGAACTGATTTTTTTACTGGGGGGGGGGCAGCAGGGAAGAGTTCTCCAGGTAGTCGAAATGTTTTGAATCGGGGGGGGTGTTTTCCGTTTCTAAATAAATAGCACTTTATAACTCTTGGCATTTTAAAAATAATTTTATAGGGAAAATAATTTAGATTAGCCTTCTTTAGGTAAGTGGAATGTTTGTTTACATTTCATATGTTTAACTGTATTTTGCTGAGTTGGAATGGAAACATAAAATAAATGAAAACATTTTCTATTTTGATTGGGATTCTGTCATCCCAGAGCCTGATCTGGTTGGTTGAGTAGTAATTTCTTTGTTCTCTGATTTTCCTAAGAATGCAAATGAAAACCACTCATTTTTATTTGGCATTAAAACGGCACTTTATTTTGTCAAAGGAGAGGTTTCTCCTTGAATTGTAAGTATAAAAAGTGTTTTTAATCTTCAATGAATATCCTTATTAATTCACTTTCAAGATAATCTGATGTTGATTTGTCAAATTTAATTACAGCTTCCGGTAACACTTGAAGTCTACTTGCTTTTGCTTCAAAATTCTAATATGAAAATGCAAATTGAATGATAATTTGCAAGGGAGTGGGCATTTTAGTTGAACACTCAAAGACAAGTTCCTTGTGGAAATGAGGCTATTGATGCAGTTTATGATTTTTCCTCTTCAAGCACTTTAAACAAATTAACTTTATTTCCTGCAGGATTTCATGTACATCCATAAATTCTAGTGAAGTCCTATATATGTACTTTCAGATGATTTTTTTAATGTTTTAAGTAAAAAACAAACTGAAGCCTGAAATCTAGCAAATACAAATCGAATAGGAGGAGATTGCATTTGTTCGATTGGACTTTTACCTAACATTAGCAATGAGTAACTCATCTCTTTCTAGGAACTGGTGGAAATTATTTACTTTTTTTTTTTTTTTTTAACTTTTAGGCACTCCAGGCAGCAAGGCAGCTGCTTTTACAGCAACAGACAAGTGGACTGAAATCTCCTAAGGGCAGTGATAAACAGAGACCGCTGCAGGTTAGTAAAGTATCCTTGCTTTTGGGGCCTTCCTCTCAGGGAAGAGCGCCGTGCTTGCTCACACGTGAGGTGTGTGTGTGGATGCCTTTGCTCTAACGCCGTGTATGTGCATATTCACATACAAGAGGTTACAGGCTTGCATGCTGGTGACTTCTCATTCACAGAGAAAATTCACTACAAGTTACAAAAGCCTTTTGTGGCTATAGATGCTTAAAAGGTCTAAGGCTAAGTCTCATTTCAGTAGCTATGGTATAAATTAATTCCTTATAGACACGTTGCAAAATTGGTATGTGATTTTTATACATACATGGATTAAATTGTAAAAATGGCTGTGTTAAGACTAAGAGCAAAACAGTATCCAGAAAAAAAATTAGTTAACTCGTTGGTACTATATCTAACTGACAGAGAAGTGTTCAGAAACTAGCAACACGACAGCATGAAATTATGAAAGAACTGCTGCTGCCATTTTAGAAAACCATACGTCATAGAGTTTCACAGTGGGATGCTCTTGGGCTTCAGATTGTGTTCAGGTGAATAGGAGTTCTGTTATTGAATAATTGGTTTAAATGTGTTATTAGTAAAACTATATATAGCATTTTATTCTTGAACAATTTTATCTGTTTGGGGTTTTTTTTGAGGTTTTAGTTCATTTATTGCTAATTCAGAGTTCCATATGAAATTACATTCTGCTGACAAAACTGATTCTCTCATTCTATATAGACCAAATATGAGTGTTTGACTGCTGAATTACAGTCTGTTGCAGACAAAAGATGTACATGAGAGACGATTTTATTTTGTTGAGGAAATAAAAAGGTGTAACTCCTACCATTCTCTTCCTCACATCTATTTTTCTGGGGTGAGCCTTTATCCTCTTGGGACTTCGCCTGTTTTCTGATGGAATAGGGCGTCTTTATCTCATTTTTAGTTCTGTCGTGCATAATGGAAGACCCCAGGCACCAGAATTTATCTTTTTCTCCGCCAGTGAAATGTTGTGAAATTTGATCACTTCTGCCATTTTTGTATGTAATTCACATTGTCTCCTTTTCTTTGTGAAACTTCATGGAGCAATGTTGGACACAGCAAACAGTTCCACGTTCCACATCAGCTCTCTTCAAATATACTTTTAAAGTTGAATTCATTTGCTTAAAAACAAACAAGAACTTAGGGTAATGACTAAAAAAAATGGAAAAAAAAGAGAAAACACGTCAAGTTGGCATCCTGCCATGCTGTAGTTGTAGTCCAGTCCAGAGGCGTAGGAGTCCTGGGACCATCTCAACTTTCCACTCTTCGCCCTTGACTTTGGTTTGTATTAAATGTCTTCTAGGCTGAAGGCACACAAGAAGAGTAGTCATAAAGGCAGCAGCTTATGAACTATGTAGTTTTTAAAAGTTTTTAGGAGTGGAATTGGTCATCTTGAAGGGTCAAATCATGGAGATGATGGATTTAATGAATGCTGTGAAAGTAGGTTATTCTGCCAGATCCTCATTCTGAAAGATAACATGGGGTCTACTAGTGTACAAGGTCCAGACCCAAAGGGCAGTATATGAAACAAGCAAAAATAGTGTTATTTTTCCAGTGTATGTTTCCCAGTGAAGTTAGGTTCCTTTAGTCGTCCAACTTCTAAACTGGAGCAGTTGAGCTACTGACCTTTCTGTTCACATTCTCCACCCATTCGTAAACTTCCTTTTCACAGCCGAAGAGATGTGGGGGTGCACTACTTGTAGGCATCGATGAAAGGAGAAAAAAACATTTTTGGTGACAGTCATACATGTAACCCAGAGGATGACAAGGTGATGAGAGAGAGTCTTGAGCTTTCCTACTCCCAAAGCACTAACCCTGGCCTGATGACTTTTAAATGCCATGGGATGGTGTAGTGTAGAGACGCCCTGTATTACATGTTTGCCAGGAAGAGTCAGTGCCTCATGAAACATGCTTGTGAGGCAGGAAGAAGTAAATAAAGCAAATAATTTTTGTTTTCAGAATTGTCATATGCTCCCTAAAGCCAAGATTATTGCTCATGTTTCCAACTTTACCTTCCATGATCATTATGTACACAGTGCCTCTTATTGGTCTTGAACACTTCATTTGGTTTATTTTTAAATGAGACAAAAATGGAATTTACTCCCAGACTTTGGTTTATGTATCAAATACCATGTACATTCAGGTATGAGCACAAACTCCATTTTAATTTTCTTCTTTTGTGAAAAGGATTTATAAAGGTTTTGAAAATGAGTCCTTGGAGCTTTTCTATTTCTGTCTTTTACTGTTACTACAGAGCTGTTCATTGTTCGTTATGTAGTGGAAATTCACATTTTGAGCATCGTGATGCCTGTTTGACCAAATACTGTAATATGGGTCATAAAATTGTCCATTATTATTATTTTATTATGCCAAATTTAATGGTAACTTTAGCCAAATTCTCCCGGCAGTAGGAATTGCTAGATGTGTATAAGCAGTTTGAAGTTTATAAGACAAAAATACTTGTGCTTGTGTTTGTGCTTAAGGAAACAGACTTCTCCCAATATTTTAAAATACTTTAATATTAGTGTATTTCTAATTTCCTCTAATTTCAGAGCAATTTACTGATCTGGCAACTGGAGATATGTTAGAACTGATTTACAAATCTAATAAAAACCTAATAAAACTCTTAAAACTAGCTCACACATCTGCAGGCAAATGTAGGTGTTAGGTAAGCCTTGCCATTGCATCTCTCATGTGCTCCATATTTTGATGTAAACTATTCTATTGTTCCACGTGCCAAAGAAGGAAAAAAATGGTATTAATTTTTGTGGCCATCTTTTTGTATTTGATGGATATTTGGGGAAAAGTAGCGTATGGTGGTTTTATATATGTTCTCTCTGTTATTCCATAATGCGTCACTTATTTTAGTAACTTACAGCACCTACTAGCTAATCAGCAAGTTGAAAGCTTATTGAAGAAGCCTTCAAATTTGTGTCCTCAGCTTTGCAAAAACAGGGTCTTGGGTAAGTCCTCGAGTTCTACTGTGCTTTACAGAGGGGATGGTTTTAGAGAACCGCTGGGATTGTTCTAGAAGAATGTGAGTGTCTTTTGTATCCTTCTCGTGAAAAACCTTTTTAAATTTGCCGCTAGCTATATGAACTATTGTAAAAGAGGAATGTTGTGTTGGCAGATGTTTTTGGTTTAGTTTTTCGTGCAAAAGTTACTTGTATCTAGTACTTATCCTAAATTTTCAGGGAGAGGAGGTTTATATTTAGACTGTAAGTTAACAGAATACCTGCAAAAATTACAGTTTTAGATAGATGCTTATCTTGATCTACTATTACTTTCTGATTTACATTTTTCTGGGTTTCAGACTGCAGATGGCATAACCATTAGCATGTCTTATGCAAAATAGAAGGAGAAAAACATCCCATCTGACAAGCTTGAGTACCAGTTGTAGTAGTGATTTTACTTTCATGTATAGATATCCGAATAAATGTATTTGAAACATGTTTATATATGCCATTCGTTATACTGATGCACCAATTGAATGGATCCGATCAGTACATATATTGATTAATGACATATTGCAGAATAGTTAAGGAGGGTTTGTGATGAGAGTTGAGGATAATGTTAACCCGCATATGGTGAGATAATAGCATTTATGTCCTTACTGTGCACCCTGGAAAACCTCTTGCAGCAGTAAGGTTAAGATTTCTGTAGTACTGGTTTTTGTTTCAGAATATTTTTCTTTTCTGGAGAAGCTGTGATTGTGGTAATCCACGGTGAAACGATCTGATTGCTTTCATGGACTTCACTCCCTGTCACTGCATTTCCATAGTAGACATAACAGAGAAAATGTCACTTTGGCTCTTAGAACCTGTAGGTCATTCTCCTACGGCAGAAAGTCACTGTCCTTACGGCCACTGAAGAACCAGGTGTCATCTAGCCTGAGTTTTAAAACTGGCGGCTTTATTGTTCTTGTTACACTTAGAGTCATGAGCGAGACCTGTGGTTCTTCAGCAACTGTGCAGAGCAGAAGTATAACCCAAAGGTAAATGCTGTCAATTTGCTGCCATTGCGGGTGTTCGTGTACAGCATTGCAATTATTTCCCTTCCAGGTAGGCAAATCTCGGTGCTTAGACTAATCTGTCCATGATACATGTGCTCTTGTTGGCTGCATAGCAGAGTGATTTGAACAGCTAGTTGTAATTTTGTTTGCTCTAAGAGCTATGAAAAGCCTAGTTATTTCTATTCCCCTCAATATGTCTAAAGAAGTAGTTTATTTTCATAAAGTCAGACTTTGAACTTTATCTCTATTAGAATAAAAAGATAATTATCTTCAATCCCGTAAGTTAGTATATCTACCATAAATTGGTTAGTTGTTTTTTCCTTCGTGCTAGGAGATTTGTTGTTTCAACATCAGTACTAATGCATTCTGCATGAGGATGACATGTCAGGAAAGCATGACTCGTGGAATCAAAGGGTTAAGCTCAGTGTGTACCAAGCCTGTTGTATAAATATCATGCTGTATGGGTGTTGAGTTGTTAAGGAAAGCTTTGTTTATTTAGCATGAGCACTTCACTGAAGTGTAATCACTTGATAAAATTTGGGAAAAAGTAAGTGTACATTTAAGTTTAATTACTTAATGTTTATTGCATTAGTGCATAGTATCAGAAGAACCACTTTTTTGAAAAAGACATGCAAAATGCAAAAATTTAGCATGAAAAGATATTCATAGTCTCTTTTAACCTACTCTCCTTGCTTTACTCTCTCCTAGTTTGGTCATCTCCCTTTGGATCTTCATATGGATCTGAATTTAAAATTCATTGCACATCATAATAAATAAGCAAACATATCATTAATATTGTAACTTTTCGTTACTTTTTTAAACATACATAAGCTGTTGAGAGATAAGAAATTGGGAATGTGTGGAAAAAGAAAACCCACTGCTTTTAAATTATATCCTCTGACTTAACATACACTGACTGCAGCCGTGCATGTGTAATGTCAGTAGAAAAATTCCTCAGTTTAAAAAC